GTTGTTCCACTGCTGAGTAAATGTGAATGTGAATATGGAATATGGAGGGGGAAACTGTGGCCTGCGCCCGAGAAAGAATGACATGGACCAGGTGCATTCATCATTTTCACACTTGGCGAGTGGTGGGACGACGGCCTGATGCTGTTCTATATTTAGAAGAGTCGGATTAAATCAGTGTTTTGCAGTTGGATAAGGTTGTGGACAAGGTTGGCCAATGCCCGTGTGTGCTGCGGAGAGAGAGAGAGCCCGTGCGGAAGGGAAGGGTCGTTTCGTAGGACCAGCTGCTGCAGGCACAAGCACAGGAGGGATAAGGATGGCATGCCCTATATGTCCGTCCCCTCCTCATCTTTTCTCCCTTCTCTCCCCCCCCCCCCCCCCCCCCAAAGCAACGACCACCTACTTGATGGAGGGCGTTTAATGGTCTCGTTTGCCTGTCTTCGACGAGTGAGAGCCCTCTGGCAAGCGTTGTCTGTTGTCTCTGTGTGCAATGGTTCCTGCAAGCCCAAGTCCCAAGTCCCAAGTCCCGAAGCCCAAGAACAAAGACTCAGCCTGTACACACGGTGTATGTCATCCTACCGTCTTCACCTGAATTGAACGCCCGGTCATCATAGCACAGATACGGCGATAATTGCCGGGCGTTCTATTCGGGTGAAGAGGATAGCGCCTGTGTAACCAAGACCAAGACCAAGCCCAAGCCCAAGCCCAAGCCCAAGCCCGAACACGAGGACACAGCCTGTATACATGATGTGTGTTATGCTGGCGCCTGCTCGAGGCTCTTTTCACTCACAGGCGTTCTGTACAACACGATTCATGTCATATCGTTCGTCATCTGCTGTACGACTATCTACCTCAGCTCTCTCTCAAAGACTATGCATAATGCATGACGCTAAGAAATAGTCCACCCAGCTCTCTTTCAGAGAGCCAAGCAAGTTGGATGACACTGAAGCGGAAACATAGTCCCCGTAGGTCTCTTTCAGAGAGGAGTAACTCTGTCAGAGAGGAGGAGGACTTCAGAGAGGAGGAAGGTGATACTTAGTTCATCTTGCCGGTTGTGCGTGCTTGGGAGACCTGTTCGGAGATGAGGAAGATGATACTTCGTTCATCTTGCCTGTTGTGCGTGCTTGGAATACCCAGGGGACATACAGTGGGACTTTGGTGGGACTTTGGTGGGACTCTTTGAAGACCCAGGGGGCATACTCACGACAGTGGGACTTTGGTGGGACTCTTGCAAGACCCAGGGGACATACTCACGACAGAGGGACTCTGGCGGTGTTGTGTAACCTGAACAGGGCCGAGGAAGGTGATATGTAGTTCCTTTTTTTTGCCTACCTATTGTGCGCTTGGAAGACCGAAGGGGCGTAGTTGCTCCCTTCTTGCTATACCTATTGTGTGCCTGGAGCAGTGAAGGGGCATATGGAGGTCCTCCTTCTATGGGCCACCTATGGTGTGCTTGGAGCAGCGATGGGGCATAACAGGCGTCCTTGTCCTGTTGCGTCCCTATGATGTGCTTGAAACATGCGAGGGAGGGGCAACTCACACTGGGGGACTTTGGCAGCTGAACATGGCCGTGATTCCTTTTGCCCACCTATTGTGTGTTTGGAAGATTGAAGGGAGGGGCATAGTTCGTCCCCTCTTGTGCCTACCTATTGTGTGTGCCTGGAGCAGCGAAGGGGCATATATAGGTCCTCGGCCTGTCTTCCCCTCCCCACCCCCGCTCCCTCCTAGATTCATCCCATTCCATCCCATCCCATCCCATCCCTTGAGGGACACAGTGCAAGTATCGAGAGATTCATCGGACTGAGGCAGTTGGGCCAAGTTTTGCAGAGCGATTTCACCCCCCCCCCGGCTCTGTTTTTGAGCCAGAAATGGCCTCTTCTTGGCAACTAGGTGCTGCAAATGATGACACCAACTTATTGAAGGGGTGGATAAGGTTGCACAACGGCAGTGGATAAGGTTGACGTCAGTGCAAAATGGAGTTGATAACGTTGTCTGCGGATCAGCAGCACATGGCAGTGGATAATGTTGCTGGCTGCCCCAAA